AAGTTGATGAACAAAACGGGAAGGGAGATGTGGGACTTGTTACAGGTTTCTTTTAAATATTCTAGTGGTTGGTGCATGTGATTAGTATTGGTGCGCATCTCCGAGTAAATTTATTGATTATTACACGCAAGTAACACACGGGGTGACGTGAAACTCCTAGATTTCTGACTGTTACCTTGCTCATCTATGAAAGGATCGACACACTTAGATCACACAGTAGCAAAACGAACTAAAAGTATTTTCTACTCAAAACCGTTTGGTCACGCATTAACCACCAGTTCACAGTAAATGATTCAATTCCTTCCATCCAACCTCACACTTTCTAATTCCAAACTAGGACTTCAGCCATCTTACTGAGTCAACAGATGCAAAAAAAAGCCAACTTTCCGGTTCCACCCGGTTTACCGCCTTTTTACTTGTCCACAGACCGGCTTGTTTAATAATGCTGGCATTCACCATGGTATCGTGAATGTGTTGGTAGTAGACATTCTGGTTAGCTGTAGTCTACCTGAGTGTTTTTTCAACATACTGGCCTTCAAGCAAGAAACTGATCGTACGGGAAAATGCTCACCAAGACTTCACATTGTCTTCTGCAGTTCAATAACTGTGTAAAGTAGAAATCTCAGTTATGTTTAGATGCAAGTTTGGTTCTTGATTTGTCGTTTTTCATGTTAACGCATCCTGACACTGGACCGACGAATATAGACCAGGGGTTCCGTGCCTGATTTTATGTAAACCCATCTGGAAAGGCTATGACTGAATCGAAATGGGTAAGGCTACCTGCATTCTCATGCGATTCGAGCATAAACTCGCATGATTTTACTTCACTTCAATTTCACTTCTTTTTACTTGTTCCCGTCAAGACTTCTCGGTATTTCCCCGAAGGTAGCCTGATAAATGAACTAAAATTCATTCATGTATTTTATGTACATTCAATAAATCATGCATATAAAAAACAAAACATGTCTAATCCTCAAACAGTAAACAATAACTAAAGAACAAAATACACGGACCATGTCCACATTGGAAATTATGGATACACTAAACCATGCGGTGCATGCAAAAGTAAGTTGCGTTGTCGGCTGCCTCTGAAAAATTCTGCCCCTCAGTTCTAACAATCAAGGTCCGATAACTGCCAGTAACCGTGAAATGTTTAAAATCAGATCTGATTGTGGTAGCACAAGATTTTTAAAGTTGTTGGTGCCATGGGCAACTGTTTTGGAGAAATTGTTTTAACCGTTGGTTGTAACACTGAACATGTGGAGGGACAGATCACAAGTCCCACATTCTCACTGCCAAACAGCCCAAATACAGGTCAGGATATACGCCTGAGCAATGCTCGTCTACCTTACTCAGTTGACAACTCCCACGTAATTGACAGTCACAGTACTGATCATCATCCCTGAGGGACCATCCAGTTGTTTCTGTACAAGTCGATGAATCTTTAATTCTCTCAGCTACTAGCCCACCTTGGAACATGAGGTGTAGCCGACCAAGCAAATCAAAGTGTTGACTTGTATAAGGTGCTTTGGTTCGTAATACTTTTTTGAAACTCTACTGAGCTGCTACAAATAAGACGTACGTCTAGTCGCTCGTGGTGATGCACAGCTGGTCACTTACCCTACGGATGACGAAAGGATGAGAGATGCGTTGGCATAAAGTTTGAGATAACATGTGGAAAGGTCAAGAAGTTGATTTGGTCGAAATGCGCGCAAAGGTAGGTGACAGCTTGACAAAATTAGACGCATACGCAGATCCTTTGGAGTCGGAAGTATGCTTTACAGAAAAAACACCCGGGCAAACAAAGTGCGTGCACGCGACTCAAACTGGACTTGCAATTTCAAACACTGAGAGAATTGAATGTTATTAAAGACGAAGGATGGAGAAGTATTGCTGAAACGCGAACCACTCCAAACGGTTGGCCACTGTTACTAACTCTTTTATGAATCTCTAGGCACACGATCGAGTTTGATCACGGGCAGGACTCAGTTTTCCGGTGCTTTTAAATAGTTTTCGTTTATCAGGTGGCCGCTACAAATATATTATGTGTGCAAAGGATTTTGTCAAGTTATTTTACCTTGTTCATGATCTACGAATCAATTTATTCATTGTTTACATTTAATCTAATCCTTGCCACTGATTCACTCAGACACATTTGATGTAGAGATTTCGTGGCTTTTCAGTGCAGCAAAGTAGAATTCGGTGAGTTTATTCAAAGGATCGGTAACTGCGACGCGTCCCTTTTTGCTCAACAAGACTAGTAGAACGATTACTGGTCGTGGGTGTCGGCTAAACCATGCTCCTAACTCAAGTGTAAATAAGTTCAAACCATTTGGAGGTGATAATCAAAGCTTGTCCAGCGTGCGCCGGCTATGTGGTAGTAGTAACATTTCCATCCACAGTTCTTTCTATCTTTTTTTCGAAGAAGATAGGCACTAATAATGAGTTATACTCAAAAGGAACCTCAGCGCCAGTGTCTCCCTCTGATGTGTGCTGAAGGCAATAGACAAAACTGTGTAAGATGAGGAAAGACGGAAAGTTCGAAAGCCTCAGAAAAACTCGGGAGATATTGAATCAAACCCTTTAAACTTCCGCATGTCACATAAAGCCATCAATTCGGCAGTGAAAAATGCCATCAAATCAGTTATATCTGACAAAGTATCATAATAAATTGCAACTGCTCTTACTCCTTTGGTCTAACCTGCCTCGATACTAAGTATCGCTGGAAATATTTCATGATGAAGTGAAAAAAGTAGTATACGATGTCCGTGCGAAAATATCATTCGTGGACAAATTCTCAAACATATGTGAATTTCCATACTCGTCAAAGATTTCATTGACCACGAGGCGATCAGTCATTGTGAGATAGCTTAATTGGAACCACGAGTATGAAGGAGATTCAATGTTAGGCTCTCTAAGGTTACGTACAACATCTTTCCGCGGTTCCAAACCATATAATACACACCCAGAGCATTGACATCCTTACCCGATAGGCACCACCGTGGAAAAAAGACTCTGGTGCCTGAGTTTGGAAGGAAGTTAGGACTTAAGTGAGGCAAAATTGAGGAGTGGATTAGCTGTAAAATAAATAAATCCATCGAAATGTAACCTTTGTCTAACACATCATCATAGATTTCAGCGTTAATGGCCGTACGGCCAAAACAAAAAGTCGAGTTTCGCTCATCTTAGGTTGCAATCTGTCTAACGATACTTGTAACCTTATCTTATACCTGGCTTTTGACTTCTAATGATAATGTACATCACTGAGGATAAGATCTTGTGAGTTTTGTAGGAGCACCGCCTATCACCACTGTAGTTTGGGGGATTCAAGATAATGAACCGTTGAAATTCGATGGCATACGACCAGGCCGGAGGTAACACCACAAGAAAAATGACGGTTAAGCTCGCCCATATTAGTTGAATTGCAAACCAAACTGGAATTCTAATTGACTTAGCCTGTAGAGTTTATTGGTCTTGTAAAGCCCCCTTAACCGCCTCTCATCCGCAGTCTAGCAGACTACTTGATTTAGAAACAAACTTCAGGCTTCGGCTTTGTTGTGCTCAGTATTTTCTCACTTGTTTTTCTAACCTTGGGCAGCATCATAAACGAGAGTGTCTATCTTGGTAGCAACGACATCCCAGTCGTGTTCACAGTTTATCGGGAATATTAGATTTACTTCCAGACGAGGGAATACACAAACCTTATCCACCCCAAGTTAAGTGTTGGATTATCGGTTAAACATTACAGCCGTAGGGGAACAGTTTTGTTACATAGATTCCTGGTCACTGGGTTTAGTGTTCCTCATGGGAGAGAAACTGGGAATAAAGGACTAGAAAATAATCAGGACCCTGACTAGCATCTACGAATGTGGGAGTATTCAAAAAAATGTTTAAACGGTCATGATAGAAAAGCTAAAATACCGTGGGTTGAAGGTCAGGTCAGGTAGCTGCGCTGGGGTTATTTGGTTTAGCCCCGATCACACAGGAGTTATGGCGTGATTTTGTGAACCATCGAATGTTTCACACAGTGTTGCTCCGATTGCACCAACAAGCCCACTCTTTTCCTGACTTGATTTACCAACTTTTTTTTACAATCGAAGGATTGGTCGATAAATTTTGTTCAAAATGTTTTGGCAAATCGTGATCTCCGGCTAAAATGCTTTATCGTGATACAGTCTGTCGACTTTTTCAGTTGTTAACTGAATGGAAATAACGTGTAACCGTCTTTCCAAAACTCATTCAAGTGCATTTCTGTGCAACGCACTGAGGATTCAGGACACGTGACCTGAAAAAGTAGTCAGCTTGAAATTTGTTTATTTTGTCTAGCCTAACAATCATTACACGGAACCAGATGAACTCTTCCTCAATTACACCCATCAACTCGCATACGATGCAGGTAGATTCACCGTTGGATAACTTTCTGAGGTCACGAAGTGGAACGCGATAAGCGGCTGTAGCAATCAGCTGAGCTCTCTAGCAATCATATTGACAGGCACAAAGTCGCAAGTGGCGTCCTGATTTACCTAGACAGCCAATAAATTCATTGTCTGAGTGACTCTTGGTTTGTGATCAAATCTGTTTGCTCTGCCGAAGTGGCGCTTCGGTTGCAGTCACGCTATGCTGACCACAAAAGTCTAGGACCATGCACAAGATTTAACCAGACTACCATCTCTACTGTTATTTAGCAGAGATTACTTTTGCACACCCACGCGTACCAGCAACCAAGTCGGTTCCAACATCCTCAGCCCTAGTTGGCTGAATGGGGAACGATTGGTCGCTGGTGGCGACACCTGATTGGTCAGCTTGGCTCATACACAGATCTAATTGGAAACTATTTAAACTGTTTCGTGCACTGAGTGTTCAGCCGAGTGTTTCGTGCCGCGGAATTACACTCACACAGTGAAAACCCTCCCCACAAGTATGTGATAACAGCCATGACAATAACGACTGTGTCCCATCTGTTTCTGTGGACTCAATGGATGTATATTTCATTGGGAGTGATGATCTACCGAAACAATATTCCAGACATCACTGTGTTAGAGAATGTGACTGCGGGGACCATTGTGCTTCCCAATATCAGAACACACCTAGGTTTATCCCATAACACTGCAGTCAAATTAGGTCCAGGATCACTGAATCAGTTCTTCAGACTGGACTCAGAATCTGGTCAACTGATTTGTACGAATACTGTTGACCTCGAATCGCCCGCCTTGTGTAGATTCGAGAAATCATGCTGCAGACTCGAGGGGAACGGTCAGCAAACAGAACACGCCTCTGATAAGCTAACTCCATCCAGCTACTTGGAACTGAACTCGTCTGATTTGCGGAGACAGTTTGATCCAGATGGTCGTACATGCCGACTGATGGCTTTCATATTGGCCAGTGCGGCCACAGACACCCAACTTGCGCCTATAACACGGTTACACGTGACAATTGTAGATCTGAACGATAATGCACCAACGTTTAATCAGGACTCTGTAACAGACGCAAAACCCCAATCGTCGAATCATCTTCAGAACCATCCATTTGTACAAATTGCATTCCTCGAGGGCTCTGGGGGACTGCACGGGAGCCAAGATCTACCAATGGCTTTTGATGCCGATTTCTCGCTCACCAATCGAGTTGCACGTTACTGGTTAGAATGGGACAAGTCGAAAATGTCAACCGAGGGGAGTCTTGAAGGTCGATCAGCTAGTATTCAGCTGAATAGTATATTGTCTACAGCTGGTCAAGATGGACTAACGTGGGCAATTCTGGGTCCATTCCGTCTAACCTACCTCAGCCATGGACGGAGTATCGCCCTAGAGCTCGACTCTGAGTTGGACAGGGAAGCAGTGAGCCAGTATCATATCCTGCTAGTAGCGGAAGATGGCGGTGGACTTCAGGGTCGATTACACATTACAGTGGATGTGATTGATGTGAATGAATTCGCCCCAGTGTTCGTTGAGTCATTTCCCCTTCCAAACAAGATCATGAAGTCAAGCGACCAGGAAGTCTACCACAAACACTACAAAGTCCCCGAATCACTGCCAGTCGGAAGTGAAATAGGTCGACTGCAAGCCACTGATGACGACAAATCACCAGAGAATATTATCACTTATCGACTTGGCCCAGGAACGCCGCAATCTAAGATAACGAAAACCTTCCATTTGAATCCAACTACCGGTTCATTAACACTACTACAACCATTGGACCACGAGACAACACGAAGTTACCGGCTAACTGTAATTGCACAAGATGGGACCAGTGCGGATGTGACTGCTTCAAAACAACTAAAAGAGCAACAAAGTCACCTAGCAGGACGTCTGTCGGCAACAGCAATTGTGGAGATTTCAGTCACCGATATAAATGACAACGCGCCCGTGATTCGATTTGAAAAATCTGACCAAATAAACGGACAGTCTAGGCAGAATGGTGCACAGCGCTTTTCCGCTCCTTTTAATCATGATGTATGGATTAAAGAGAATCTTGTAAAAGGTTCCCCCGTGACATTTTTCAGTGTGTCGGATAACGATTCTGGTGAGAACAGCCGAGTCAGTTGCACTCTAATGAACTGGACAGATAGATTCCAGCTTCGAGAATTTGCCGGTTTGCATGGCCTCGAAACCGTGGGGGAATTCGATCGAGAAACGACGGACACTTATTACTTAACCGTACGCTGTCAAGACCATGGAACCCCGATTCAGCAAACGGACGCTGTCATCACTGTTCATATCGAAGATGTAAATGACCTTCCGCCAACATTTGACCTTCCACTCTATCAGTTTCACGTGCTAGAAAACAGCCCAGTCGGTACTCGTCTGCTTCCATTAAACTCAAACTACCCATCTACAGTCAGCGCCAAAGATCCGGACTTGAATACTACTCTTCACTATCGCTTGGAGCCAAGTGATCCTGATACGACAGTCCGCGGTGTCAGCAGAAAGGTCATAGATGGATCTCAGGGCATGGATCATCACTTGTTTCATATTGACCCTGTGACGGCCGTGCTTACGACACACGGTGAACTAGATCGAGAAACTCGAGCACGACTTACTTTTCAAGTCTGCGCTGACGATGGTAAGCATGCCGCCTTCGCCGATGTTGTTGTCCAGTTAGACGACGTAAACGACAATCGACCCTCCTTTGACCGCGATACCTACGTACTTCGCGTGGAAGAGAATCACTTATCCAACAGTCCACTGGTCGTCTTCAAAGTAACCGATGCGGACGTGGACAATCAAGGATTTACTTTCGAATTTGTTGAGGAACCACAACCGGTTGTGACCGTCACGAGGCCAACTGATGATGGGGCTAATCAGTCGGATGTCTCAATGTACAAAAATCAGCCTGAATCGGGGACGGTTCGTTATCACTTTGCATTGCGTGATAATACGCTGTATTTGCGACGGTCCTTAGACAGAGAACTACGTTCAACCTATCATTTCTTCGTCAGAGTAAGCGACATTCAGGAATCAAAACAAGTGAAGGACCTGGGCAACGCTGCGAATACTGTTAGTGATAGTTCTTATCGTCTGACAAGCCAAGCAGAAATATTTGTTGACGTTGGAGATGTAAACGACAATGCACCGGTGTTAGCTTTCCCTAATTCGACTGGACCACTTGGAAATCGTCTGAGCGTGTCATGTCACGAAACGATGGGTAGTTCTGTTGGTCGGCTCCAAGCCTCAGATGCTGATTTGGGGCCAAATGCCACTGTGGTCTTTTCTGTGATTCACACACCCGAAGTGGACCAACTTTTCTATCTGGATGGCCAATCGGGGGAGTTATTTGTCAATACGGGACAGTTGGTGGCAAGATGTGGGAGCAGTGTAATCTTAATCATTTCTGTTGATGACCAGGGACCCGCAGAAAGTAAGCGATCCAGGACGGCCCCTGTTGAAAGACTCATTATTCAGTTGGAAAGCAAACCCACGCTGGCAGAGTTAATTGCCGCTGAAGCTCGGAATAAAATTGGACAGTTGAGTAATGCCGCTGCTGGCTCAGCATTACACAACGACGAAGGTGTAGATAGCGCAAGTGTGTATGGAGTGCTCTCTACCCGAACAGTACTCAGTGTGGTTTTGGGTGGGTCCACTGTTTTCCTAATCACTCTTCTCCTTGTGTGGATAATCCTCCTCTTGTATGGTCGTTCACGACGCCAAAAACGATTTCGCAGTTTACGTGCAACTCAGGGAAAGGATAAATATGGAACGGTTGCTTCTACGACACAACAGCAGAGGTCCCCAGAGAAAGTCTACTTGGGACCACCACAACTAGTAAATCAGTCTGCCGACGACAGAGGTCCTTACGTAGAAAGAACTACAACTTGGAATACCTTCAAAAGTGAAAAACGAGTGGGTAAGTCTCGGTTTTCTTGCCCATAGTGGTTTGCTTTTTATCCGCTCAATATGTTTGACATACAATACAGCACAGTATAGCACTGAGGATCCCGTGGTCACTGTGCGCGCATTTACAACCTGCATAACAAACACGAGGAAAAGACTGAAAATTAACTAAACAACTTGTCCCCACGAAAGAGCATGTACCATAGAACCGTCATAAGACGCTGTCTTTTGGGTGCTACAAGGTTTAGCGCAGTTTACCGTCCAACTCTGACAGAGAGACTTCCCTCCTAAATTCTGGGGCATAAAGCTTGATGCTCCTACGACAGAAATGGGTGACCAATAAGCAACCCAGCGGGATTGGCAGCACTGCTTATATCCAGAAAAAAACGTAACACATTATGTGAGCAAAGCTGACATACAGAACCTGAAAAACGTGTCGCAGTGCTTGTTTGTTTCTGTTTGTATGAAGGAATATGATTCGTCTTGCTCTTCTATTAATGCCCCAATTCATTTTAATTTTGTAAGACACACTGGTTCACATTTCTGTTTGAGGATAGTTTGTAGCTCATCAAAGGCTAACTAAACTTCAGAGCACTGCTTATCAGAAACTAGACACTTGAGATTCCGATAAAATGATGAATACGAAATTTATGAAGTAAAATAATATTCTAGCTGACCCTACCCAAATTCTTCGTCATATTAAGGGCAGATAGTTCAGTCACTTAAGGAGCTAGTGATTTTGTGCACAAATTCTTCTATGAACGAGGTCACGTGATCAGTGTGACTGTGTGGCATGAGAGATCCATGGCTGGATGACTTAGTTTGTGTTTTGTGGTCGTTGACTCAATCGGTTGGGTGATCTGCTGTACTGACGTTGTAAGCAGATGATGAGAACGTAATGGATGTATGTAATATATGTATGATGCATTAGATACACGTCAATTTCTTCAAATGGAACTGAGACGAATCACTCATGAGCCGTGGCCTAACAAGACTAAATTGAACGTAATGGATGTGAGTAATGTATGTGTGATGCGTTGGATAGACGTCAGTTTCCTCAAACGGAACCGAGACGAATCACCCATGAGCCGTGGCCTAACAAGACTAAATTAAACCCTACTATTTATACCAAAATTCAGCCATGGCAAACTCTTATGCGTTCATAATCCAGCATGCTCCGGTAAGGAATTGGTAAACGCTCACCTCACATGTTTGAGGTTCAAATCCAGGCACAGCCAAGGATATGCCCTAATGGTTAGCTCCAGTTAGGGAGAAACCCGCATCCAGTGCTTCAAACCTTTGATACGTACTCGCCAAATCAATTGTGCCAGGACCGGAACGGGACTTTTCAAGTACCAGTAACGTGAAGGCAGGAACTTTTGTGTCCATTCGAGCATGTGAATGCATCAAACCCTGTTAGGTTACTTCCATGAACTAAATTGCATTGTTCCACCGCACGTTTAGAGTTTCACTCCAAATCATGTAACTCATCGTCGTTAAGTTGCTTCTGAATCACCGGTTTTCAGTAGACGACTCAAATTGTCTGGTTTATAAGGCTGTTCATTTCCTTGTGGTACAGAACTGACACAAAAGTAATTTCTATAACTGACGATTAGGTTGCTTTACTACCGTAATTTTCTTTCCACTGATTAGCCAGATTGGGAGGGTGACGAGGTTCGTTTTGGCCATATTCAGAGCCAGCAGCCAACCCCAGCAGTCTTTGAGACCGCATGGATTGTTCCTCGTCATGAAGTATCCGGTATCAGGCTCCAGGGTCAGAGTACCCAACAGTATTGTCACTAATTTCCGTCGAGGACTATCGAGTATGTGACGATTACACAGACGCCACATTAGCTATTTCTAATGACAATCCTGCAGCTGATATTTTGTTATCAGTTTTGTGATCTTTGATTCTATATCTTGTGACTACTATAATCTAAAGTACATGAAAAAATGACCGTGGCGTTTTCGTCACAAGATAGATGCAACAGCGTGGCTACCCGTAAGTAGTTTTTCATCCTTGGTAATAACACTAATAACACTAATAACACGTGAATCGCCGATCAGTTCCCCGCTAAAAGACACATCTACAGTTAGACATAAAGATTGTTTAACGGAAGCGGGGAAGCAAATGATGATAATCCAAGAGTCCAAAAACTTCCATCACCTGTCACATCGAAACCTTAGACGTACAACTGTTCCAGGAATCCAAAAGTTCTCAAAATGGTCTGTCTTGTGGGTCTGTGTATACGGTCTTTGAAGTACGTGTTGGTATAATATAATATTTTTGTTCGTGGTTTGATTTCGATTTCTGCATCTAAACTGATTCTGCAGCATTCCAGCCTACATGTTTCCCACGGATGACACTGAATAGGTGCCACAACTGAATGCCGCTGAAAAAAGAAGCGCAAATCAAATGCTCTCTGATAAAATCCACCAAACAAAACCAGGTGAGGTGTCATCCACGTACAAGCTGTCGTTTAAACTCCTTGTCACCGTTGTAAACAAAAAATAAGAAAGAAATAGAATGACAAATAAGTAGACGACATTAACCGAAAAGTAGGTGGTTTTTAATCTTCAAACATGATCCGCTTCGTCTTTCCCACTGAAGTGTACTTTTTAAGAGATTCACTGAGCTCGTTTAAAAGTTTGCAACCCAGATTAAGGGGAAGTTTTAAACCGGTAGGTTATAAAAGAGCACTAACTGGTCTAAGCTACATTAGACGTGTAACTTTGGTGATCGGTAACTTTACTGTTGTGGCATCTTTTCAAGAGGTGCCGTGGGGTGTAATCCCATTTCCTTACATTTTCTTATGACGGGATCAGTTGTATTTGACATTCTACCAAAAGTTTTTCATCTTGCTTTTGTCAAGTTAAATACGTTTCATAAGAAAAATTAATATCCTCACTTCATCAATATCATGATGTTCTGTTTGTGCAGAATTCACTAATTGTTTTAAGGCGACTGCTAGCCAAATTTCATTTTCAGTCGCTTTAATTTTTAGAAAGTGAAATTTATTCAATTGCTGCAGGTTAAGGCTTTATCTGGGGGTAACAGCCAGTATTGTCGAAACGTTCCATCTTCTAGATGCTTTTTCATGTCATACAATAACTCAAATTCATGGTTTTATGGGATAAACTTGCCAGGTTAAACTTTTTTCTTGATGAGCGAAACACCAAATATGACCGTTTGCTTTGGCAGTTTTGGCTACCCCCTCTCAAAAATTCACCTAGTTCAGAAATCAGCAATCAAAAGAACATTTCCCCTCTGATCTGATATTCCTGGTTACCAATGGTGAAACAAGTTGTTCAAAATTCATATGTGGCTCTACCTCCGGTGAATAGTTCCGATTTTGTCTGCTACAATGTTCATGGATTAAGTCAGCGAATTACATTCATTTGCAAACTAATTT